AAAAAAAACGCTAAACTCGCCTTAAGAAAGTTCTAAAATCTATATCCAAGTATACCTATTACAACGGTGAGCAGATTTCTGTGGAGAAAAATCCGGACATTTCTAAAGCACCGAATCCGAATATATAATATTGTTTTTTAGAATAAAAAGTCATAATATCTTTTAATATAGTTTTATTTAAGACAAAACAAAGAGTAAAAGACTTGAAAAATGATCGCAAAAATGTATACACATAATATGTACGGTTGCGAGAATGTAAATAGGGAAAAGACATTTGAGCAAGTTTTGGTTATTTTTCTTTGTTTAAAAAATGTTTATTATTTTTTTATGAAAATATAGCTACTATCTAAAAAAAGAACATGTTGATCAGAATTTTTTAATTCTATTTCTAGACTTTTTTAGTATGCAGTTTTGTAGTTTTAGTATAACAAAGTGCAAGTTCGAAGTATCTTGGACTTACCGTTAATTTTTGACAATTTTTTGTAAAAGTATCTTCGAACATTTGTTTGTAATGAGAAAGTGGGCAACACCTTCCACAAAAAAAAATTACAAAAAATCAAAGGTAAGTCCTACATAGCTACCTAAAATTTGCACTTAGATACTAAATTTGAATGGGCTACAAAACTGCATACTCAGAATGGTTCGAAGAAATCTAATTAATAAGCTCAAAATTTTTATCAAACTTTGACGAATTGTGATAATTTTTGTACAAAGTTTGAAATTTTGACGTACTTTGTTCGATAACGAGCTACACTTTCATTAAAAACATAGTAAACATTAATTAATCGAAAAGAGGCGCCAGACTGTCTCTTCCCTATTTATATTTTCACCACTCTTTCTCCAGCTTATATTTTTCATATTCATGTATTTTTTTGGAAATTGGTATTATTTTTTATAATGTCACTAAATTGAAGTTAGCATCGTTTCATTAAAAAAAAACCTACACGGAAAACGTATTGTAACAAAAATCAACTATAGGATTTTCAAAGGGAATATGAAAAAAAAACAAAGAGAAAATCAAATCCAACTACACTAAATTTGGCAAATACGTCGTACAAACAAACTAACTCTAAAATTGTTTTGTACAATTTTGACTAAAACTCAAATACTTGAAATGCTTTGTTCCGGGTTTATTCGTAAACTTGTCAGTATGTGTTCAACACGCTCTTTTCGACACATTTCCAGTTCATACGCATATATGTATGTATGTACGTATATGCATGTAAATATTAAGTTGTTTCGCAATCAAATGCATTGTTTTTTTTTTGCGCAAAATTTTTTTGGTTGTTTGGAGTTCTGTTGGCTGTGTTTTGTTGGAATAGTTTGAATTTTTGCGGATTTCGTTGAGGGTTTATCAAATTTGTATCTCTTATTTATTCACATACATAAATATGTATATAGATGTGTGGGTATATGGAATATTTTTATTCTAAATTCTTTCGAATTTCGCTCGCTGCGATTTTGTTACAAATTTACGCTTTTAACTTTTGCATTTTTTTGTTTAATTTTTTGTAAACATATGTATATATACATACATATAAAATGTGTATACATACATACATAAATACGTATGTATGCAGGAATGAATTGTAAAAGAGATTTTTACTATAAAAATGGTTGCGGATTCTTTTTAACCAACAAAACTGTAAATGCATACTACACATGAAAATATTTGGAATACATCAAAAATAAGTGGGTCAAAAAATTGCATAAACAAGTCCCTGCGTGCGATACAATGAAAAATATTCGAGAAAGTAACAATGTTGTTGTTATTTTTATGGCCTTATAACAATTATATTCAACAATTAATAAGATTTCGCTTTTCCACAATAAGTTTTCACTAAAAACGGCCTCGAGCTCATAAAAATTTTTGAATATAAAGTAACAATGAAAAATTTGTTTTAGTGTAGTAGTTAGAAATATTTTGTAAAAAATTTAAAAAGGTACGCAAAATACATCACTTAAAGGTGTAGCATAAATGTTTTAAGCAATAAATACTTAAAGAGCTTTAATTGTCTCATAAGAGCACGTAAGAGACATGCTCTCGTTCATGGGCTTGTTTATGGAAGACTTTTGACACACTTAGAGTTTCTAAGAATACCGGCTCTGAATGGAGTTGAAGAAAAAAAACCTTGAAGTAGGAAAATAAATCGGATAAGGGACTCCGAAACTGATACGAAGCTGGCTCTTTTAAGGGAGAAAATAACTTTCTGACGAAGGCAAGATAGTTTCCCGCAGTCAATGAGATATTGGTCAGCAAGGATATGATGCAGTTGCTAGCACCAATATTGGTCTTTCACCAGAACTTTGGCCTAATAAAGGCGGTTGTCTGTGAAACATGCTCGGACAGCTAAATTGGCCAAAATGGTGTTATATGGGAATGCAATAGACGATAGGCGGTATGCAGGTACGCTATAGTCGGTTTCAAGTAGGAAAAAATCGCAAAAGGGAAAGATATGTTTGGAAATACGTCATCTTATCAGAACTGTGCCAAAAACGTTAAGCGAAACTGCCGGCTCCATCATCTGGGAGTAGGGAGGAGGCGCAAAATCAAAAAGAAGAAGGGCAGCGTGGCGTTCCATCTTCACCGCCATGCTGTATGGGGACGCAGTAGCTTAGGTCGCAGAACAGCGAATAACCACTATGTACACCTGCAGATCTTTAGGTCGGGGCAAATTTAGGAAACCTCAGTTATCGCAGCCCTAACTTTTCGAATAACGAATCGTAGGCTATGAGGCTAAAGAGAACCGAGGAACACTACCGACACCGACACCTGATTCTATTAGAGGGTGCCAAAAAAATATATTTGTCCCAGCTTTTGGAGCTTAAGTTTTACTAAATGGAAGGTTTTACAGAAAATTGAAAAAGGTTCATCTAACGAAGGGTTTGAGGATTAAAATATTCCCCAGAAGTGCTCAACACATCTTATACTAAAATTAAAGCAGCGCGTGGTTTTTTATGCCGATTTAACAAAAGAAAATGTCAAAAGTAGAAAACTTGACCCTCTGAAATAAAACTCTCTCATTAGCTTTCAAAATGCCGATACATTTTTATATGTACATTAGGATTCAGCATGCTAAATACAAAAAAAAGAAAAAAATCGGTACTGTTTTTCCATGAGCAATAAATATATTATATTCTAAAACCTATGCCAAAATATTTCGGAAAAATATTGAGATTTACGTGAGCTGCATCTATTGGAAAATACTTAAAAAAATCGATTTTTTTTATAAATAAAATAACTTTTTGAAAATACGTTTTTTATAAAAAAACACCTCAGGTGAGAGAAAAGTTTGGGCTTGAAAGGTCTGCATAAAAATTTTATCAACGAAGGCAAAATAATATCCGCGAAACTTTGGCGGAGTTCTTAATTCTGGTGAATGTGGGCAAACGTTTTTTGGTGATACACTCTAATGTCCTTGTGTTTTTTTTTTGATCACCTCTATCAGATTTCGTTGTCGCAACTTTGTTATTTGAGATTTTTTTTTAACGTGTAGTAGTATGTTTTTATAATTTTTTCATTGAAAATTAGTTTGCAGCTTTTCTGCTGTACGATTTACCCCACAATTTTTATTTCGTATCTTTTATAGTTTATGTTTCATTGCATTTCCTAATTCAAAATAGATTTACACGAGCATTGAATCGTTTTTTTTTTGCTATAACAAAATTAGTTTTTAAAATATTCCACACTTTCCCCGTGTCCATGTATGTATGCATAAACAAAAATAACACAAAGAAATTACCACTTAATTCATACATATGTGTTTTGTGCATTCATTTACTCACACACACACCCATACACAACACATATCATTTTTTTGTCTGGCACATATGTAGCTTGATTGACAAGCGCATCCTTTCAAGGATGTATATCCATTCAAGTGTTTGTTATTTTTGCTGTATGTACATTTTGATTTTGACAAGCAGATATGTTTTGCATTTGTTTTCGCTTGCTTAGATTTTCGGGATTTATTTGCATTTTGATTATTGGCGTTTTTTCTTTTTTTTGCATACAATTATTTTAATATATTCATGTAACATACATATGTCCTTGCGATAAAGGAAAATTTATTGTTTTTCTATATTTTTTTAAGCCTACCATTTGTTGAGAAATCTATTTTCCTCTATGTTCGTTAGCTGGAGTAGAATATTCGATGTAATCCTTTAGCGTCGTTTTTGTTACGATTTGGTTGTGTTAGTGGTTGGCGCGAAGGCGAATTTGTCGGTTGGATTGCCTAACAACTTCCGTTGGTAAACCAAGCGCGGCTGAGTTATGGTAAGAGACGCGCGGGTGTTAAACTCGTTGACAGGCGCACAAAAAGCGTTGCACGATGACAGCGCCAAAAACGACAACGATAAGACAAAACAACGGAAACGGATGCGCGCTACACAGACGGCTCAATCACTTGTATTTCCTGTACGGCAGCTATTCGTTATAATGCTTTGAATTTTTTTTTTTTTACGTTTTATTAAAAATATTTTAGGTCACCAAATTTGGCACGGTTTTCGAGTTTCTGTTATTTTTTGTTTTTATAAAAAAAATCTTTGTTGCTTTTATTTCCTGTAGGCGCACACCACCAGCGACCTACTGCGAATTAAGAAGCGTCTTTTTTGCGTCTGCTCGATGTGCGAGCGTATTTCAAGCACCGACGACCGTCGCTTTTCACTTTCAAATTCAAAATGCTGCCAAGCGATGATATCAGTTACTAATATAAGCCTGAGAAGCTAGCCGCCAGAAAAACTAAAAGTGGCAGAGGCGGCCACAGCAGATGAAGGCGGCAAGAAAAAGCAGCAACAACAGTAGCAGAGATGACACACACAGACTGCAGACTGAGCGCAGTCTATTAAAGAAGATCGTAAAATTTTTTTTTTAAGTCTTTGTTGAAATTCAGAAATGCATCTCCCAGACCGCTCCGAGCTCGACGTCGCAGCTAGCCGACTGCATTGCGAAACTTCCTTCATCCACCGTAGCCATCGGTTTTTTTTTTTTTTTGATTTGGGTGTTGTGTAAAAACCCTCAGCAAAGCGAAGCGCAGAGATGTAGCTCTAAAGAAACCGAAAGTGTTACAAAAAAATATTCATTGGAAATTAAAAACATCAACAAAACAACACCAAAAAGCACAAAAATTGAATAACAAAAAATATTAAATCCACACAAGATCAATATGAAAAAAAAGCAGGAAAGCAATGAAAGACTTACTGCGAATAGCAGACACAATACTCACACGACCAAGCTACAAATTTACGAAATCAGTAATCCACGCCGTTGGCCAAAAAAATCCGGCATGCTGTCACATCCGTCACTCAGTCGCTCGTTCGGTCAGTCAGTCAAAACAACAGCAGCTGCTTTGCTTGTTCAATTGGCGGACCTGCCATTGTATGTACTTTGTTTGTACGCATGTGTTGATAGACTTAGCGCAGAGAGCATAGGAGAGCGTTTGCCTCCAGCATAACGCCCCAAGTTGCCGCCGTCGCTGAGCTGCCGTTCATGACAATGACATCGCCCTGCCAACTCTGACCAACAACGATTGCCGGCTGTTGTGCTGTTGCTGCTAATGTTGCAGTTGTAGGTACGTTACATCCAAAAGTCATACCACGAGTCAGCAGTCAAAAAGTCAAGAGGCGGTCGGCGGTAACATGGCTCAGAGCGTGTTACAGTGGAGCAATTTTAGTTTTTATAAAACAAAATTTATCAATTACAATTTTATGAGGATTGCGAAAACAGAACCGTTTAAAAAACTTTTAGCGCACACTCGAAATGTGCGTCTCGAGGAGGGACCTACAATTTTACGTCGCCTCTGAACGGCACCGGCTCTAACCACTCGACAACGGGAAATCCAGGTGTCCTTGGGTTAATTATTTAAAGGGATCTGCCAAGATTTTAAGCATGCAACGAAAGTTATTCTTAAGTGCAGGCCAATAAATTTGTTTTGGCACGACTGCTAATACCGGGTGCCTAAATGCATGCTATGCACTGTTGCATTTGGATAAATTTCCTCTGTGTAATATACGAAATTTTTCCACATTCACTACTCAACTGCTATGTAATAAAACTTTTTTAGTTTATAATTTGGTGACACTTTAAAGTATGCTCGGTCTAGTCTGATGCATCCTACGTCAATGTTTCCGGAGTTTTTTTTTACAGACTCTGCGTGGCTTACAACCTTACTGAGGTGGTAACAGATGATAACGCACTACTTTTTGGTCCAATAAATTTTTTTTTTTATATAACAAATCAACGAAAATGAACATGCAATATGTCAAAATATTTGAAAACTTATACACTTTCAATTAAAACGTGGAAAAAATATTTAATATTGCGTCTTTACTGCACCGCTTTAAAATGCACTTTTCGCGAAGAAGCGAATATACTTATTAACTTATTTATGGAAATGATGACGAAAAGCTAGATCACGACTTATTTTATAGTTTTCGCGGTCGCTGATTACGAATCTGAAGTAAACGTTTTTATTTTTACAGACTCAAAATGGTGGATCCAATATGGCGGACGATTTTTTTTAATTTTGCGAACTCAGAGTTCGTTACTCGTAGGTTTTTAAGGTCGCTGATTATTAATCTGAAATCAGATTTAAAAAATTCAAAATGAAAGATCTATATTTGATCTACCATTTATCACGGAAAAGTTATATAAAAACGAAAGTACATGGCGTATGAGTAACATTTTCATCTCGTCTTTGGTAACTCATACGCCATGTACATACTTTTGTTTTAACCATTCCGTGATAAATGGTAGAATATGGATCTTCCATTTTGAATTTTTAAAATCTGATTTTAAATTAAAACCCCCAGTTGTAAATTTTTAAGCGAGTCCAATCGGTTTTGACTTCTTTGTCTGCCATATTGGATCCGTCATTTTCCATTTTTCAAATCTGGCTCGATTAACGAACTCCAGGTGAGTCCGCTAAATTGTTAAAAAAATTTCTGCCATATTGGATTGACCATTTTGAATAAAAAAAATTACTTCAGATTCGTGATCAACGACCCCGAAAGCTATAGAATAAGTCGTGATATAGCTTTCTGTCGCATCTACAGAAAGAAATGAATAAGTATATTAAAGCAATAAAGACGACTTTTGAATTTTCTAATTTGCCACGTTTAATTGAAAATGTATGTATATTAGTTTATAGGTATTTTGACATATTGCATGTTCGTTTGCATTGATTGAAATTTTGGGCAGAGCTCTGGGCAAGTTGACGTGAATCGTCCCATATGTACATGAGACTGCAGCACTCCCCATAAAAAAAACCGGTACTGTTTTTCCACTGGAATTATAAACAATTTACCTGGGCTACGGCTACGGGTTAAATTTTCTACGGAATCATAACAATGAGATGTATGATGTTAGTTTTGATGGTTTTTCAAAGATTGGTTTAAGAAAAACTTGAGTAAGGCACTCCGCACATCCAATCATAGTATAGTAATAGTTTCATCATGCCGAAACGGATGCACGACGACTCGACCTCTGTCCACTTGCGCGCCCTGCTAATGTCATATTAAACATTTTTTTTCTCAACTACACCTTCCCGTAAATATTTCTGCAGTGAAATAATAAATGCTTATGGTTCAGTACAATTTACGCAAATTTAATTTTCAATTATATTCCATTGAAATGATACATAATTTTTATTTCCAACACAAAAAAGTAAACAAATGACGATCTCAACACGCCAAGCGCCTTACAATGTTGGGCGCTTTGATTCATGAAGATTTTATGATTAGCCGAAAGCATGCTTATAATTCGTAATGTACAGAGGAGTTTCATTGAAATACATGTGTCCGGCATAAAAGCTTCATACGGCGAAACGATTCACTACCATGATTAGGCGCCTAATGTGCGGAGTGCCTAACTCAGCCAAAACTTTACCGATTTAGACATACCAGCGTTCGCCCAGCGGCTGAAATTCAACATTTTAAATTAAGGCGAGTTAAGGTGGGCTGAGCTGAACGGAGTTGAGTTTATTTGAGTTGATTGAAGTGAATTGAGCTGAAATACCTTGAACAACATAACAGAATATAACACAATATAACATAGCTTAACATAACACAACACAACAGAATACAATGCAATACAACACAACATAACATAACAAAGAATAACTTAACATAACATTACACAACTCAACATAACACAACATAACATAACATAACATAACACAACATAACATAACATAACATCACATAACATAACACTACACAACACAACAAAAAACACAAAACAATACAACAAAACGCAGTACAAAACAACATAACATGCCACTCTTCAATTTAATCTTTTTCTCTTTTTTGTCTCTACCATTATCTCTATCTTTCTCTGTGCAGTTTTTTTATCTTTTCATTTTTATATTTATCACTTCCTTGGCTTTAATTCAGATCTTTATCTGTATTCTTTTCTTTATCTAAATATTACTCCAAACCTCTGCTATTAATTTAAATTTACCTTCCTCTTTGTTTTTATGTTTACGTTTCTTTACTTTAATTTTAATCTCTGCATTTATCCCGTTCTTCTTCTACATACTCAATTTTACTTCTTCCTTGTTTGAGTCTTACCGTCCTATTCCCACACCACTGACAAAACTCAGCGGCTGACTATTTCCTTTACTACTGCGCCTAATACTATGCCGCAAATTTATTTTCAGCTGTCGTATGTCAATTGTCAGTTTTATTGTTATGACCTACTGAGTAAGTGACAATGGCGAAGTAATGTTTATATTGTGTTTTAGGCGCAGTAATTGTGACAATAGTCATATGATGAATTTTATCAGTGTTGTGGGAATAGGGCGGTTAATCTATTCATGTACATAAATACATCTTATTCCTTAGCTTCTGCATAGCACCCCAGTGGGAAAATGTTATGTATAGTAATCGAAAAAATAATTAGTAAAACAACCCTTTTCACATTCGAAAACGCATTTTTTTCCCAGAACGATGTCCTAAAAAAAGTGGGGCATTCAATTTTGCATTACCTAGCATCGAGAAATGAATATGTTTTAATATGAAATTTTTGGAACTTTTAGAATACATTAGAATGCTGATTACATAGTTAGCAGTAACATTATCGAGAACGCATAAGAAATACGTTATATTATTTATCACGCATGTAATGCATTACTACTTTTCTGACTGGGACGTTTCTGTAATGCAGTATCAATATTAAAGCATACATTTAGGAGGCATTTCCAGCCCAACCATGTACATGTATGGCATTGGTATTGTTGTCACCTTTGAATTGATTTTTTCGCTTTATGTTAAACTAATTTGAAATTTCAAAAATTGCCTGCACATCAGTATCAAAATACCTTTTTAATGATATATAATTGTTTATACCTTTGAATTATAGTTTAGCCGTAAAATGGGTGTAAAGGAAACATGATTGGCTATTTATATATAAGACTAGGGGGTTCCCCAAATTACCAAGCGCTTGAAATTCGTTCGAAATTTTTAAAAACATTAATTTCATATTTTGGAGCTTTTGCCTAAAGTTCATATTTTAGAGTAGTCAATGGTAGCGAAAAAGTGTTTTGGGATGTACATATGTTAGGATGTTAATATTATCGCGAGCTCACTGTATGTGGTTTGTTGATGCTCTCTAAACACAAACGCGTTAAAGGCAAACGGTCTATAAATGCGTGGTATTGTTGATCAATTTAATTCTTTAATTAAACATACTTGTTATAACAATTTTATTTTAAAAATACCACTGTGTCCTACTGTGGTAGAAATATGTCATTTTAAAACTTGAATCATAAAAATCGACCCAGTACATCGGCTGTTATGATCTCACGCTTTTTTGGGCTTTAATTTTATATATAGTATAGATGAGGTATCATAGGAAAGGTATTTTTTCATTCACTTTTATTTCTTTGCAAATAAACTCATTCAAAGTGTGAAAAAGGAGGGCAGGGTAAACGAGCGTCATTCCAAGTTAGATTAAGATGTATTGATATTTGAAAAATAAAATTGAGACGTGAATGACTCTTTCTTTCGTAAAGAAAAAATCTGAAAATTTTAGTGTGAATTTATAGTCAAATACCACTGTGCGCAGCTACCTCACAGGTGACGGTTCGCATGGCAGCCGTACACAACGCAAAATGCGAACCAGCATAATGAAGTAGCGGCCACATTAATGAAACCACAAAAATTAAAATAATGCCAACAATGTTAGCAACGGCGCCACGGCGGACGTCAATGACAGAGCGGCTGGCGCAATGGAGCTGGCACGAAGAGATGAGTAAGCGCGCAGGTACCACCAGTTTTGCAACATTTTTTCTCTGAAAAGTTGAAATATTTCACTTAACGTAGTTGTCTCGTAATATGCAAATTTCTCGAAAATTTACATATATGTACATATCCACAACAGACAGGTACGCATGCGTCGTGGCAATCACACAGAGCATGAATACGTGCCTAATGTGGCGAGACTTGAAGTAGTGGATGAGCACATGAATGAGTGCATAAGAGAGAACTAGTTTATGATTGAGAGCGAAAAAGGAAAAACCGGCAAACCGATGACGTTTGTTTCGATCTTCTTTTTCAACCTTTG